CGATTCTGCTTTTCGTGAAAATTCAGTGTCATAGATTTTTGACCGATGCAGATCATCGAGGGCCATTTTATGTGGTCTTTTGACGGATTCTATTAAATTGGATTCATCGACTCAAGTGACCATAGACTTGTAGAATCCTCTGAACGATACTCTATACGACGAGGGACTCTCAATTGATGCTTCATATAGCTAGGAATTTGAACTTGAAGTTTTCGATTAATAACTCAAAGTATACGGGATGGATGTCAAGTGATTTGTAGCATTATACTATATTCAATATCAGTTGCTAAACTGGCCCAGAAAGCTGAAAAATGTATTTTCCTGCGAGATGCTCATAGTCATGAAATAGTCAACTTTCAGATTTTGATACTTTTTTATCGACTATCATGGGGGCCAGAGCTAGGCAACTCAAATCAAAAAGGTATACAATTCAATTCAATTCAACTCAATTCATTGACACGTGGAAAATTTCCAACTCGATTCAACTCAATCCATAGACTACAGGAATAATCTGGAACTCGATTCAATTCAATTCAAGAGTCAAGTTGAACTGAGTTGAGTTGAGTTGAATTGACCATTTTTTGAATCGAGTTGCCCAGCTCTGGCGGGAGCTTAGTTAGGATACTAGACTGTTGAATAGTATTTATACGGGTCTCATGTGCATATGCTAGCAGCTGATCACTATCTCTTGCTGCGAGAATAGAATAAAAATTTCTCGTATGCATGTGCAAGCGGTCTGTCTAATTTCGGTATGCCTTATATACTCTCTGGAAATAGCCATATGAGACCCTTGATGGCTATTACCAAGCAGGCTTTTTATTTGATTGATTCTTTTTGTATCGTGGACTTTATCACGTGATGTTTGTTTCAGAGTCCGCCTACAATTTATCAGTCAATTCTCCTATACACGTAGGCTCTTGTACTTTTCTTGTTGCCAAAAAATTCACAGGTGATTCAATCCAACAATTGAATTACATCGGATAATTTATAAGGTTTGATAGAGTGATTTTGATCTACGATTATTTAACAGAAACTGTTTCCAAGTTTCGAAATGTGCATTCTTTTTCTGTTTGATTTAAACATCGTGCCTACTATTCTGTAAAATCATTGGGGTTGCATGAATAAGTAAATCGTGGAACACATTAAAATTTTTTTCAGATTCCAAAATGGGTATGTGTACTGTAAATGGATACTGGTTTTTCACTCTCATAGTGTTACTTTTATGCATTTTTATATATATTTTTATTTGGTTGGCACATCGTATCGACTTATTTGGGCGATATTATGCTACATTATATTATTTCTTGGCAAAAAGATTCAATATCACATATGTGCATTCGCACATGAAGAATCGAACAAACACTGAAAGAAATGTNGGTGCAAGATGCTCTGCATTTTGATACATAACTAATGGTAAGAACACTTCAAATAAAAGATACCTTAATTGAACGATATATGAATGTCGCCGTCGAAATATGCTCGTACATCTACGGTGGCCTCCATACTCAGATTCAGGCCAAACTTAGATCGATCCGACATTGACGTGGATCCGAGTATGGGCGCTAATGTATATGTCTTTTCAGTACATCTTTCTCTTTCAAAAAGTTAAATTAACAAACATCAATATACGTATATGACTGATTGTTATGTATTTATTTCGTTGTTCTTAAATAAGATGAAAACATAGCTTTGTCATACACATTGATGTTTAATTGAAATCGAGCTGCAACATTGAACTGTTTTTATTCTACAAACATACGATGGAATGTAGGATAATGAAAAAGATAAAAGAAAAATATACACTAATTTTATAAAGCACATTGTGCTTAGCACAATGTACAATGGGCATCCGTTCATGTTTTATGGATGGTCACAAGAAAGTTGATTGATTTTGAAAAATTTTTAAATCTGGGACTTAATATAAGCCCATGGGCTTCTAATAATCTTTCATGTCGCTTCTTTCAGAGGGGCTTCTAATACGGGGAGGGGTTTACTCTCAAGTATTAGCTTATTTTATCAGTTTTGTCAAAGGGCTATATGCAATAAAAAATATATCAAACTGTACATTTGTAACGTATTTCTAGGGAATATTTATAATAGGTTGCTAAAATGCAATTCGATAGAAGTCATTCTTACTTTTCCTGAATTATTTATTCAATTCGTCGTGAGAGAAATCTTACTTCATGCTTCATATTAACATTTAGAATAAGAGATGTTAAAGTAAAGCTTGAAAACTCATGCATTCGACGATGTAGATCTATTTTATATTAATGTAGAAGCTCCTTTCTACAAGGGTGGGATTATGTAACTGATGCACAAGATAAATTGATTCCACAAAAGTAACGGCTGTTCCAATGCAGTCGAAAAAGTCAGAGCAGCCCCAAGGCTGAGCCAAATGAAATAACTATGATGAGAATCCCTTGTCCTACAGAGTAATTCCTCGAAAACCCTCTAGATCTACAATAATATGAATCAATCGTTCCAACCTAATAACATAGTTCGACAGAGTACATCGATTTGCCTCAAAACAATCGATAAAAACAATAAAGAAGACAGCCTAGGTAAGTGTTAAGTCTCGAAGATTGCGTGCTACCTATATAGGACATCTTCACTCTTGGGAGAGTATACTAGAGGTACTGACATTTATTTTAGTACTTACTTGCAACCTAATTTATTCACATTTTCACCCACATCTCTAAGTATCAATTTCAATGAAACGCAAACTTGATATTATTCTTCTTTATTAGCTGTTATAGTAGATCCTGGTAAGAGTACACTGAAATTAAAAAGAATCTGTACAAAACTGCTTTTGCAACGAAATCGAAATCCTCTTGAAAGTTTTGTATAAGACTAAGATGGTTTTATTAGAGTTACAATAAGCGGTGCTATTTTTTTGTAGATTTTGTTGTTTTCTATAAAATCTTCTTTAAGTGCGCAAAACCCTTCTTAGTTTCAACTAACGCCTTTTTTGTTTTCAGCGTAGTTAATAATCATTCGATTCTGCTTTTCGTGAAAATTCAGTGTCATAGATTTTTGACCGATGCAGATCATCCAGGTCCATTTGATGTGCTCTTTTGACGGATTCTATTAAATTGGATTCATCGACTCAAGTGACCATAGACTTGTAGAATCTTCTGAACGATACTCTATACGACGAGAGACTCTCAATTGATGCTTTCGATTAATAACTCAAAGTATACGGGATGGATGACAAGTGATTTGTAGCATTATACTATATTCAATATCAGTTGCTAAACTGGCCCAGAAAGCTGGAAAATGTATTTTTCTGCGAGATGCTCATAGTTATGGAATAGTCAACTTTTAGATTTTGATACTTTTTTATCGAGTATCATGGGGGCCAGAGCTAGGCAAATCAAATCAAAAAGGTATACAATTCAATTCAAGAGTCAAGTTGAACTGAGTTGAGTTGGGTCTTGAGTTGAGATTTTTTTAGCTAAATTATACGGTTATAATGCATAAAAATTAGAAAAACTACGTTGGGTGACTTGAAAAAGCATCATTTGAAACATCACGATATATTATACAGGTGAATTTTTGCTTAATAAATATTTTCCTCTCTTCTATAAATACAATTTTTGATGAATCGAGTTGCCCAGCTCTGACGGGAGCTTAGTTAGGATACTAGACTGTTGAATTGTATTTATACGGGTCTCATGTGCATATGCTAGCAGCTGATCACTATCTATTGTTGCGAGAATAGAATAAACATTTCTCGTATGCATGTGCAAGCGGTCTGTCTGATTTCGATATGCCTTATATACTCTCTGCAAATATCCATATGAGACCCTTGATGGCTATTACCAAGAAGGCTTTTTATTTGATTGATTCTTTTTGTATCGTAGACTTTACCACGTGATGTTTGTTTCAGAGTGCGCCTACAATTTATCAGTCAATTCCTATACACGTAGGCTCTTGTACTTTTCTTGTTGCCAAAAAATTCCCAGGTGATTCGATTCAACAATTGAATTACGTCGGATAATTTATAAGGTTTGATAGAGTGATCTTGATCTACGATTATTTAACAGAAACTGTTTCCAAGTTTCGAAATGTGCACTCTTTTTCTGTTTGATTTAAGCAATTCTTCTGTTGATGATCGTGCCTACCATTCTGTAAAATCATTTGGGTTGCATAAATAAGTAAATCGTGGAACACATTAAAATTTTTTTCAGATTCCAAAATGGGTATGTGTACTGTAAATGGATACTGGTTTGTCACTCTCATAGTGTTACTTTTATGCACTTTTATATATATATTTATTTGGTTGGCACATCGTATCGACTTATTTGGACGATATTATGCTACATTATATTATTTCTTGGCAAAAAGATTCAATATCACATATGTGCATTCGCACATGAAGAATCCAACAAACACTGAAAGAAATGTATTTGGCTTAATTAATTTCTATAGTCCCAAGATATACTGGCTTATGTGCTTAGATTCATGTCGAATAAATGCCTATGAAAATGCAATTAGACAGTACGAACACGAACCAGAGAAAGCAGTTTGGCTAGATATTGGAACTGGTGCACATATGCCATTGGCTCGTTTATTGATAAAATATGGAGTTGCAAAGCATGTTCATGCAGTCGAAGCTAACTGCCAAACGTATCAGTTTGCAAAACATCTCAGAGAACAAGTATCTGAAGAGGAAAAAAGAAAAATTTCTTTACATGGATGTTATTCAAGTGATATTTATTGGTGTGAACAAGATCCCCGACCGAATGCTATTATCCACGAGATAGTTGGTTCTATTTCTTCAGATGAAGGATGCATTAAAGTGATGCATGATACGATTGAAAGGCTTCATGGGAACATATCTTTTTGTATACCATATCAAATTGGAACATTATGTATACCAGTATCACAACCAAGGATATCTTTAATTTCATCACTGTGTTCATTTCTTTTGGGAAAATCAATGCGAATCATTAAACATATCGGTATACAAGGTATGGTGAATCCACCAAAAAATGCGTTTCTTTGTGATACACCACAATTGATTGAAGATTTCATCTTAAAAGATTATACTGCAAAGCCATTAGAAAAATGTCGAATATATACGACGAAGTTTATTGTTACCAGCAGCGCGGCACGATGGAGTGGGTTTTATCTTGCGCCATACATTTTAACTTCGAAAGATAATAAAAATGGGTCAGTAGAAATTGATGCACTGAGATGCTTAACAAGTTGGCCAGTTCGTTATGTGCAAATGTATGATCACGAAAATGGTATTCATGTCAGACAAGGCGATGAGATATGTGTAAAATTCGAATCTGATCTAACAAATGAATGTCCAACTTATCGATTAGAAGCATGGGTGAATAACAGCTATTTAGTACGTTCATCATTTGCTTGGCGAGGGCCTGCCATCAATTAGAGGCACGTGCATTTCTGCTTGAACTTAAACAGGCACGCAGTTTTATCAGTAGTTAATGTTATAATTTTTTCTCACTTCTCTGAAACGTAAAGGAAATACAACTGTAGAACTTAGTAGGATTTATGTATCGTTGACCAATTGATATAAATCGCATATATAGAAATATTCATTCAAATTTAACTAGAAGAAGAAAATACACTCAGGATAAATATGACCAGAGAAGATATTCGCTCTAGCCCTCGATTTCAACTAAAAAAGATGCAAGATGAAACATAGAAATCTACCAATCTATGTTATCAGTTATATCCGAAAATGATATGAAGACCGAATTAGGGACGAAGGAGATCATCTCATCTAAAAATATTATCACCTTAAATTATACTCGTTAACATTGTTTTAATGGCACAGTGACTCGAGAAAAAAATCAGTAAAATACCATCCATATCGATCGAATTTCTTTCCAGCTTGATATTTGTGCTTTACTTTCTCAATCATTCATTATACTTTAATGAACTTGAAGTAGAACAAGGACTTCTCATATTAATAGATTTCTGTTTTTGACAATGAAGACCTTCGAAACTAATTTTGGTACTTTCAACTTGTATTGAAAGCCCATCGCAAGATCACGAAAAACGAATAAACTATCAGTTTTTCTCAGAGTATTGATCATTCTATAAGATTTTCTCTTATGGAACCAAATAATGGAATGATAATTTACACCTAGGATTGAAGCTTCGATCGAGAGCTATCAAAGTCATTACTAAAAGATGAATTTATATTATATCTTTGCGATGAAATAGAATCTACAAAAAAAGTTGAAAATCTCCAATAAATGAGCAAAAAAAGGCTTTTATCTGTGACTATGAATGCCTATCATTTGCCCGAAATGCATCCCCAAATTGAACCCCCATTTAGGGTAATTGTTGGTGAAATGTAAAAACTGGTGACCAACTGAGGATTTTTTAAAGGATATTTTCATTTGGGGATTTTTGTTTCCGTACAATATTTAGCAGTATGTATGTCGGGAGCCTTTGAAAAATCTGTCTTCATGCTTCACATCTCATACCACCTCTATAAATTAGAATTTCAGAACAATTCAGGTAACTCAATCAAGAAATTACGATCACACGCGCGTATAGTTGAAAACTGTAGGATAATTATAATTCTNTTTCTAGAAATATTTTAAATGAGAACATAGTATGAAAGATGGTATGTCACCATGTTATATGTGAGCATTCATTGTCTGTAATCATATATATATATATATCACATAAGGACATAACAAAAGTTGTGAGGATGCAAAGTACAAGTTAATTTGTAGCTGGACGTATATATACGTCGCCCGTCCCCAAGGGGTTAAAGCATTTCAATAACCGATGTAAACAAATTGTTCAACCAGAAAAAAATCTCTCTATTGATGAGCAAATGATAGGTTACAAAGGTACAACAGCACCAACATCATATAGGCAGTACATGCCGAACAAGCGTGCCAAACGTAGTTTTAAAGTATGGACTAGGTGTGGAGTATCGGCGTTTATGTACGAAATGAATTTGTATTATGGTGCATCAAAGGCTGTGACAGTCGATACATCATTACTTGATTCCTCATTGAAGCGTGCTTTGCGTACAACAACAACAGCAACGATGCCAAACGAAAATCAATAATATCAACGTCAATCACTTCTCAAAGACTATGGTGCTTCAGGGATGGTAGTTTTAGATTTGCTTAAAGATGTGCCAGTAGGTACTTCAATTCATGTTGATAATTACTTTGCATCTACGAAACTCATTCAAAAATTAACTCAGCTCGGTTACCGAGTTACTTGTACGTTACGATCCAACCGGCTGCAGCGTTGTCCAATATCAACAGACAAGCAGTTCGACAAAGAAAAAAGAGGTTATTATGAATATTTTATGTCAGATAACAGTAAATGTATTGTTATTGGTTGGAAAGATTACAAAAGAGTGATATTGCGTTCAAATCACATTGGTACACAACCAGAAACTACAGTGCTGCGTTGGGACAAAGAGGAACGATGTAGAGTTACTATTCCTGCGCCTCAAATTATCGAACAATAGAACAAATTTATGGGTAGTGTCGATACATTGGATATATTAGTAGCATTGCATCCAATTCCATTCAAATCAAAACGATGGTACACACGGATTATTTGGAGAATTTTCGATTTAATGGTTATAAACTCTTGGATACTCATGAATCGTGGTAACAGTAGTGATGGGTATGGCGGATCGACTCATGGGATCTTTAGACACTTTCATTTCAAGTCAGAAATAGCAAGAATTCTACTGAGAAAGCCATTACTCAGTCATCTGCAACCAGCTCCGGTTGGTTCAATTCCGCAAGAAGTCGACAGTGAAGAAGAAAACGAACCACCAATGAAAAAATTTCGTGAACTGGCATTAAGTTTACCAAACGTTTTACGTTATGATGGTACAGATCATTGACCAGTTTTTATATCTGCTCTTAATAATAGTCGATGCAAAAATGAAAAATGATCAGGAAAAACATACTGGAAATGTACGAAATGCGACGTACACCTTTGTCTTAGTGTACTGCACTGGAGTTATGAAGTCAAAAATTTGTGGGATTGGAGTTGGAAAGAAAACAGGAGAATTTGTTGGAGTTGGTTTTGGAGTTGGTTTTGGAGTTGTAACAGTAAAAAAGACAAGCACTTTTTCTTCAATAGATAAACAATTTTATTTCATAAATTAAATAAGAAACATAAATTTACTATCTGTATTTCATAATTACAAGTAATAATAACATTGATCTTTTACAACATAGTGGGAAAAGAATAGAACAACTAATCCGAAAAAATCTTCATGTTGTCGCAATCAATTAAGCTTTCATCAGTATGAAGTCGTTGTTGTTTAGCTGAAGAATCATCAGAAGATGTTGTAATTGTTGATGACATGGATAATGTTCGTTTTCGGTTACTATTGTTGATAAGTTGTTTCAAAGTATTTAGATTCTTTTGTAAAAATAATAATTCATTTATCTTACTAGCACCTAAACGTGTTCCTTTTTCGGTTACAACATTTTTTGATGATGAAAACAGTCNGAGAATTTGTTGGAGTTGGTTTTGGAGTTGGTTTTGGAGTTGTAACAGTAAAAAAGACAAGCACTTTTTCTTCAATAGATAAACAATTTTATTTCATAAATTAAATAAGAAAGAAACATAAATTTACTATCTGTATGTCATAATTACAAGTAATAATAACATTGATCTTTTACAACAAAGTGGGAAAAGAATAGAACAACTAATCCGAAAAACCTCCATACTGTCGCAATCAATCAAACTTTCATCAGTATCAAGTCGTCGTTGTTTAGCTGAAGAATCATCAGAAGATGTTGTAATTGTTGATGACATGGATAATGTTCGTTTTCGGTTACTATTGTTGATAAGTTGTTTCAAAGTATTTAGATTCTTTTGTACAAATTTCACTGATTGATCACCTTCTTGCATTAGTTGCTCAAGTTCTATTTTAGTTAACATTTTAGAACACATTGCTTTTTTAACTAGTGGTAGTAGATCGGTAGAAAAAAGAACATGAATTCTGCATATATATGTCGTAGGCCAATCCAGGATTGGCCTGAATCTTACATTGGCCTACGACATATATGAATGAAAGATGGACCATTTTGATTCGTTCATTTATTTCTCTTGTCATCAGCCATTAAAAATCCGAAAATCGTCTAGCTGTCACTGAACTATGGAAAAAAGTTGGAGTTTTCTGGAGTTTTAGTTAGAATTCCAGTTTTTCTTTTTATGGAGTTGGAGTTGGAATTGAAAAAGTTGATGATGCAGCTCATTACTTTGTCTCCATTCAAATAAAAATTGTTGTACTCAATATCATACAAAGAAATAATTCAATAAAATTATGTATGGATAGTTTTTCGATTTTTTTGATGATGAATCATTGGTAGATATATTAGTTTTCATTAAAGTATTGTTAAATATTATGTTCAAGAGGAATTAAATAAAAATATATACTAATAAATTGTTTCTGCTTAAATGAAGAACTAGAGAGAAATTCAAGCCACAATAACCGAATGTCCTCTCCAAAGGACATACTTGTGGTCGAAGTTAAAATCAAACAACACTTGCTGGACATTTAGTTACTAGTGGACTAGTTGTGAAAATACGTGTGAACGATAGTATTAGTGCAGCGTGGCACACAGCACTCTTAAATGTACTTTATACACAAGGTTGGTCACAAGGAATAGCAACAGTTGAACAAGAACTTCACTTCCACGTCTTCGAGAACAAATCAATATTCTTGAAATTTTGATACCCGTGAAAATTATAATCGATGAGAACCAATTAAAAACTCTGTTGACTCAAAATCATCTGTTTAGTCATAAGAATTATGTTGGTAATGACAAGTGGTCTGATAATCTCAAGCGTCAAAAAACATCCGATACTATACTCGAATGTATTCCACAATTATTTTTCTTACTGTTATTTCACTATTTCAAATATCTTTTTGATATCCAATAGCGATCTCTCATAGTTAACCATCATGTTATTAACATGATCAAATGTATAGACTCATCTTGAACTTATGAGAATAATTTTCATATTATGTGATCCATCTAATTATCATATTGCATTGCATATTTTCCTTCAATAAAAAACTCGTTGTGAAATGGAAAAAAATGAAATTTAGTTAGAAAAAAAAGAGACAATTCATTATCTTTAATAAAGTACGGCTCGCTGTTCTCGGCCAACCCAATTAGTTGGTGTACCAACTCCAGCTTGTTGTATTAATTGAAATCTATGATGAGGATGTAATGTCGGTGCATGTAATATACATTGATCACATAAATCATATGTATTTAATCCACGACAATGTTGACATTGATATCTTGTAATACCATTTTGTCTTCCACAACCATCACAAAACCATGGCGCAATTAACATGATGAAAGAGATGAAAATCAAATCAAACGATCCATATTTGTTTGTTTAATAAATAAATTAAATCAAGCATGACTTGTTATTACATCATATAGACACATCGAATAGAAATAAATAGACTGCGGTAATATAATATGTGCTGTTATACTATATCCAATCATTCAGTTAAATAAAAGTTTACAACCATAAACTGAAAAAAGTAAAAAAATTCTTTGTTTTTTTTTCTTTTAGTCAAAGCATCACTAAATCTTCTAGGAAATATTTGATTATTTAGATAAATGTGATATTTATATGAATCATTTTCCAAATCTTATACCACATTCAAAATTTGATTTCAAAATTCAAATTTAACAAGCAAAGATCGTTATGAACGAATCATTTTCCAAAATATACATTGTATTATTTCATTTCCTTGTGATAATCAACTTAATTATAAAGTATACTATTATTATAAATATTAATTTGAATTCTCTTTATTTCTTTCCGATTTTTTACAATCATATTAAAAGGTGAAACGATCTGATCAATTAAAAGATTATAGATAAGCAACACAATAAATAGTTTAGTTTAATTTAAATAAAATAAAAGAATTGCATGAACAATACATAAAGCAAAGATTAGAAAGCTAAATTTTGAATCTAAAAGATTAATTTTGAATAGTTGGTGTTTGTGAATGAATTTTTGTATGTTTTAATACATAACGTCGAAATAATTTCACGATTCTTGGTACAATAAATTTAAGAGTAGTAATTACACCACCAATCAAACCAACTAATGTTGTAATAATATAAATAAAATCATTTCGTGTTTGATAACTATAAGTACATAGTTTTGGATAGCATTCATTATAATATTTTTCATACATTATCAAGGAATTCCATTGGTCAATCATTATTTTATTAATTAATTCTTGAACTGATGAATTTTCCGAATAAATATTTGAAATTGACTTCTCAAGTCTACTTACTTCTACTTCTTCTACCCATCTATAAATTGATCGAATTCTTTCAATATACGATTTATAATATAAAAACTGCAAATTTGATGACAGCAATCCTTTACTCGAATAGCATCCAATATAAAAACCAGGTAGTTTATCAGCTTCAGTAATATTAAACTCGGTATTGTTATATGTAGGTGTATAAATGCATGATGATACTAAATCACAAGTACAATTATTATATAGCGATGTAACAGCATAAAAAGTTTTATTAGATTTATATAATTCGTAATTAAATTCAGACGTAACATATAATGAATTACTTTCCATCATTTCTTGTACCATTGAAAGTGATAATGCATAATCATTGATAAGTGATGTTTGAAATTGATTAATTGAAAGTAATATTTGTGATTCGAAGAATTCAGAGGGTGTGAGAAATGTGCTTACATACTGATTGGAGTTGAATTTCTTCAAACTATCATGTATTATTACTTCAATTGTTGTACAAAACAGTTGAAGTCCTTGAAAGAATAGTGGGAATATTGAGAGTAAATCTCTATACCAGATCAAACTATTGCCTTGAAAATGAACATAATCAAGAGAATATATCCATTCTCCAGATATAAAATCACTTTGACATATTTGATGAAGTGAATATTCTATATCAAGAATATTTCCATAATCTATCGAGATTTTTGTACATGGACATGATAATGTTTGAGAATATTTTGAATATAATTCGAAATACTTTTCGATAGTTGGTGATTGAACATTAACTGTTTTTGTTATTGTTGCTAATGATGTATATAATAACAAGATTGTCATAATGAGAATGAATAATATGATGAATATTTTTGTTGAAATTGTTTCATTTTTCAGTTGATATGGATCAGTTGATGGAGGAATCGATGGAAATAGATTGAAATTAAGGATGTATTGTTTCAACTTTTCCATAGATATTACAATACACTCATTGAAATTTGACACTGGAATAAAATGAATATTTGAGGCGGAAAAAGATGCCTAATATACTATGAATACAGATCAAGGATTACTCTTTATGTGTTAACTAGCAGAGGTGCCCGGTGGCAAATAAGAAATATCCATGTCGAATATCTATTGTGTTGAAAAGCTGTAACAGATAGAATCAGTATAATTCAATTTCTACGCTTGTAGCCCTCACTTTCCCCGTACAAAAACGGATACTATACTGACCGTAAAACTGTGCCCGTTATTACGGAGCAAAACGGTTGATTTTCGTCCGTAAAGTAACCGTTTTGTAACGGTTTACACTCCGAAAACGCATCGCAAACGACTCCGTTTTCATCAACCTGGTAAGATAATTTCTGCGTCAGAAATTATTAAAACTGCCTCTTTCTCTGTCATTCATATCTTAAATCCTTTGCGTTCACCCTCAGTCACCCTCAAGATTTTCTCTTCGTTAATTCAAGAAAAAGACGAGAAGAGATGTTTAAAGAAGATAAAGACAAATTCAAAAATACTATAGATGATTTGTGCAAGAAATATTAATATTGCCATCTCATCTTTACTATGAAACATAAATTTCGATAATATTCAAGACAATGTAAAAGAAAGGAAAATATGTATATACTACCATGTAACTTATATCAAGAAGGAATAAAATTAAACAAAAGAAATTACACTAATAGAGAACTACAGTTATATTGTCTAATCGATTCTTATGAATTATCGATTACTTTCTATGAAGTTTGCGCTAAAATTCAGAATTTAGTTATGCGATGCAACTATTTAGTTAAAAAACGATCGTAACTTACCAGTTTATGTAAAAACAAAAAGTAAAATTTGGTGAATTAGAATGACTTTCTTCAGCATCTATTATATTTATATCAAGAAAATGCAATAACAAAAAAGCTTTTTCTCCAATTAAGAAAAAACAAACTTGTTTTAGTTTTTGTTTGATAAGTTTATTTTCTGAGTTTTTCTTGAGAAACTCCTAGAATGTCCGTAGAAGTCGATTTCGTAACATTATTCTAATTATGTTGAATAGCTATCTTTAGGATCATTTGGTAGACGAAAACTGAAATACATCAACTATATCAACAGAAAGAAAGATTTTTTTTCTCTATATAAGATGAATACTCTTTCTTGTATATGAGCAATGTATATTTTTTCTCTCAAAGCAACCAACGCATTCTAATTCAACGTTTGTTATTTAGAAAATATGGAAGTAAGTTCATATGTTTATTATATGCGAATCAATAGAATAAAATCAAAAAGCAGTTACAAACAAAATATCTTTATTAGGCCAAGATATTTTTCAATCGAATGTTTTATGTTAAGCAATAGAATTATTGTGAAACTATTTTAAGGCATTGCAACATATTTTTAAGAGAAACTTGGTGTCTGACGTGAGATATACATTGCCATTGAGAATCTACTACTGCATCGGTGATGGGAGAAAACGTGGGACTGTTATGTTCGTTTATAATTTGTATATCATCGCACTGCTTAATCATCTTGTATAATAATAGATATAGATGTTCCAATGTTTAGAAGGTTTTTATTAGAACACCACGGAAGTTCATAACCGCACAGGAGTAACAGATTTCAATCAATAAATAATCTAAAAAGACAAAAAATTTACCTCACATCTTCATTTTAATATAGATGATAAACTATAATACTTTATGAACTAGACGGTTTAGAAATAATATCAGTTTTAAGCAGTCACGGGCTTGAAAATACGCAATTTTTTAAAATCTTTGTTATACTTATTGTGGCATATATAGGTTGTAAAGCCAGCAAACGTGCTCTGAAAGAAAAAGCGAGTTGATTTGAACATCCAGACTCCAAATGAGTTAAAAGAACGTTTTCTCACGATTCTCATAGTGGCAAAAGGATTTTCGTAGAAAAATCTACATCTTTTCAAATTCAAATTAAATCTGACGAAGCCGTCATTTAATTTTCTACCTTTTGGAATCAATACTTATTATAGGGTTAATAATGACATAATTAAAAGCCTCCGATGACAAAAGCACTACTGTAAGAGAATCAACATAAGTTCACATGAAAAATATCCATCTTCAACTATTTCCAAGAAGAAACATTGTTCACTAGAATATTACAATTATCATTCAAGCCGCCCTGATTCTGAACGGGCTTCGTTCTTGTGAACCAACTCTACGGGCTTTCACAGGTATCCTGCGATACATACTTCATCCTCAAATACATTTATCGAAATTCGATCTTTTACTTGTTTTATCTTTAGGGATGAAATAAAGGCGAGTTATTATCCACATCGGCTTTGCTATTGATTATACTATAGTCTTCTATTGACTTGATTTCGAAAAATTTATAAATATTGTCAAAATCCCCTAGGAGACCGTAATATAAGACTTTTTGAATTCATAATCAATCAATAATAATGACGTCTCACGATCGGAATATGTAGCATTACAAATAATTGATGTAAATCTGTTGTTCAAATGTCTTCTTTAGAACGATCAAATTTCATACATTACTTTGCGACAACCTGTCACTTCATCAGAAGATGAGTCTCACTCGAATAAAAAGTATGTTTAATGTATTGCGTCGTTTTCCAAATCTATAATCTTTTTCAAGACTAACAAATCCAGGGAAAAAATCGACCCCCCTGATTCTCATCACATGTATTACTATTATATGTGTTTCAATAATAATTATTGTGCTACCATTGAAATTGTTAAAGAAAGATGAAAAATCTTTATATCAAGGCAATAATTCAATAACATTCACCCCGAGTATGTATATTAATTTTGTTTTTCAATCAAAATGATGCGATTTTTATTACATTTTCAGGCACACCTTCAAATTCATCGGACAACATTACATATTATATAAGCGAATTAAATTCTCGAAGCAAGATATTTTCTCGAAAAACATCATTGAGAAAACATTATTATGAAGCATTGAAATTTAATGTATCAATAACAGGAAATTATACATTCAGTAGTATTAGTACGATTGATACTTATGGATATTTATTTATCAATGAATTTGATCCATTGATATTTTGTAAGAATTTAATTGCAGAAAATGATGATGCTATGAAAGATGTGATACCATTCGAAATTCAATCAATACTTCAATCATCTATTATCTATATTTTAGTAGTTACAACATTTAGATCAAACATAACAGGCAAATTTTCAATTTCTATCCAAGGTCCAGAAAAAGTCAAATTCGTTCAACTTGATGAAATAAAAGTGTCATCAGGTATTTAGATTTAAATTTTCATTTTGAGAAATAATATACTTTATAATAGAAAGATGTTTGCTTTTATGTTAATTTATTTTCAGTTTTAATGCCATTACTTCAACCAAATGATGTGATTAATGCAATATATAATACTAGAATGGGTGGTAACAGTACGCTGGCAAGGCCTGGAGACGGATCTGGAACTTATCCTCCGCGAGAGGGTCCAAATAATACATGTGATAACAATACTTTAACGAAATATTTAAGCTTTGGTACATGTAGGTCTACTTCTGTTCGTCTCTCGTGTGGATTAAACACAGGATTTTATGTTACATTAGCAAAAGGTGCATCAATTGTTAAAGGATTGCAAATTTGTGCAGCCAACGGTAATGTTGCACGTGATCCACTGAGAGTTACATTAGAGGGAAGTAATGAAACCGGAGTAAATCTTACTTTTGGAAGAAGTTGGACTTCTATTTACATTGGAGGCGTCGGTTTCGATTACGGTCCACCTAGATATTCATGTTCAGTGATTCAATGTATTGCTAATTCAATAAGTTATCGAAGTTATCGATTTCTTGTTACTGAGAAACGTCGACCAGAGAACTCTGTTCAGTATTCAGAAATTCAATTGTTCGAATATTAAATACTTATATCAACAAAAACAAAACATTGGACTAAAACTTCTGTCTCATTTTTCTTTTCTTATCTCAAATTTTTACAAATCTTATTATAATAAAATGTATTTATATTCTATAGAGTGTACTTTTTATTCATTGGCAATGATAACAAAGTAAACGGGACTGTATTTATAGTTACATGTTTATTGATTTGTTCATTTCTTAAAATAGATCATAAGTCAAATACTTGGTCCGAAAGAAAATTTTAACCGATTTTAATTTAGCTCACATATGAAAATTTTGTTTTTTTGATCTCGAAAAGTATAAATAATTAATATAAGAAGGATTCAACACTACCAAAATAGAATGCCATATTCTGACGAACAACAAAAGTAAAAGAATGGGGTTTGAAAATAGATCTGAGCAGTTGATATGACGCGTTTATGTTATCTTTCGTAAGGGCTATTGTTAAAGGGGTGTTTATCATTCACTTGATATTGACTGAAATTATCAAATGAGAAAAACAGAATAATTCAAGATTATAATTATGAGAAGATTTGAATAGAGAGTGTTTGTTGCATTCAGTAACACAAAAATATCTTTCGTTGATTCCAAATTTTATATAAATAATTCAAATGAAACAGAATTTATTGATAATCTTCGATATAAACATTTACAGTAAAACCTCTCATTCTGAACACCCACCAACGTGAAAAACCTGTTAAACTGAACACTCTCCGATCCGCCCAAGCGATTTTTGCTGGTTCTGACCCCCTCCTAAATGAACTCCTCGTGATTCTGAATGTGAACGCTTTTTCTGGCCCCAAGCGCAAATTTTACCTCTGTAATGTGAATATCGAAGAGGGCGCCACTTCATTTATAATTGATACCACGCATTTGATTGGCGCGTTGCACAACTCATTTAAAGAGAAACAAGTAAAGATTTTTAATCTCGCCTAGACATAATTGAATTACGTCGTGTATGTTTATGTTAAATTATGAAATATGAATATAAAGTTAGTTTCCAGGTAGAACAATCCCATACTCGGATCCGAAACATGAATTTCCTGTTGATTTTCTAAGGGTCATTATAGAACATAGCTAAAAAGATCGCTCATAAAATTTCCAACAATCGACGGGATTTTTCTAGTCGGATTCCAATGCAATTCCGTTTCCAGGAAGCCGATCGGCCCCAGAATCGGA